CGTGCCGTCCAGGGTCCTCGCGCCCGGACTTCAGCCTGCTTGGCCCCTGCGCGCCCATTCAAATGCAGAAGCAGAAAACGTTCGGGTCGAGCCGATGCCTTGACTGTGTTGGAGTGGAGATACATTGTTCTTGAGCTTCTCTGTTGCGGCTGAGACCAGATTCGACGGTCGAGTCCGGTCCTCAAGGCGGAGGAACGCCTGGGCGGGGAGCGAGCGTTGGCACAATTTGGGTGAGTGGTGGCGTGGGCAGCCGCCTCGCATGGAAGTGGCGCGGCGAGGCGAGGCGAGGCGAGGCGAGGCCGAAAGCTTCCACATCACCAGGCGTCGGAGTTGAGCTGCGCCTTGCCACTTTCGGCCGCTTTGCGCCAAAGGCCCAGAGCACGGCCCCCTTCTGCCATTTCCACTCTACATCTTCCCTCGCCGGCAATCATCCCTCCCTCGCATTAACGCAACCTCTCCTCCTTCTTCCACGTCGGCATCTTCTTCCTTTCTTCTTCCCGTCCAACAGCCTCACTCAGCCGCTTGCATTACCACACCCTGTTGCTGCTGCTGCTGCTACTGCTGCCATCGTCGCCGTCGCCACAATGAAGCCCGCCGTCGCAGCCGCCCTCGCCGCCTTCGTCCTCGCAGAGGTCGTCGCCGCCGATGCCGCCAGGCCACAGTTCACCCCCACATCCATCCAGGCTCCCTTCATCGAGCAATTCACCTCGGATTGGTCCGAGCGATGGCAGACCTCCCAAGCCTCCAAGTTCCAGAAGGAGGACGACACCGAGGCTTTCAAGTACGACGGCGTCTGGGCCGTAGAGGAGCCCGAGGTCTTCCCCGGCCTCGCCGGCGACACCGGTCTCGTGCTCAAGTCCAAGGCGAAGCAGCACGCCATCTCACACCTCTTTGACTCGCCCATCGACCCCAAGGGCAAGCCGCTCGTCGTCCAGTACGAGGTCAAGCTGCAAAAGGGTCTCGGATGCGGCGGTGCCTACATCAAGCTCCTCTCGGCAACAGAAGCAGGCGTCACCCCAGACGAGTTCTCGGACAAGACCCCTTACACCATCATGTTCGGCCCCGACAAGTGCGGCCAGACCAACAAGGTCCACTTCATCTTCCGCCACAAGAACCCCAAGACCGGCGAGTTCGAGGAGAAGCACGTCAAGTACCCCGCATACCCCAAGCTCGCAAAGACCTCGACGCTCTACACCCTCGTCGTCCAGCCCGACCAGACCTTCGAGATCTTCATCAACAACGAGAGCAAGAAGAAGGGCTCCCTCCTCGAGGACTTTGAGCCCCCCGTCAACCCGCCCAAGGAGATCGACGACCCGACCGACTCCAAGCCCGCCGACTGGGTCGAGCAGGCTAGGATCGCCGACCCCACCGCCACCAAGCCTGCCGACTGGGACGAGGATGCGCCGCTCGAGATCCCCGACGACGAGGCCACCATGCCGGACGGCTGGCTCGAGTCCGAGCCTCTCACCGTGCCCGACCCGGACGCACAGAAGCCCGAGGAGTGGGACGACGAGGAGGACGGCGAGTGGTTCGCTCCCAGCATCCCCAACCCCAAGTGCGAGGCCGCCCCCGGCTGCGGCGAGTGGGTGCGCCCCGTGAAGCGCAACCCGGCCTACAAGGGCAAGTGGTCCGCGCCGCTCATCGACAACCCCGACTACAAGGGCGTCTGGGCCCCGCGCAAGATCGCCAACCCCAACTTCTTTGAGGACAACAGCCCCGCCGACTTCAACCCCATCGGCGGTGTTGGCTTCGAGCTCTGGACCATGGACGAAGACATCCTCTTTGACAACATCTACATCGGCCACGACCCTGCGCAGGCCAAGGCCTTCTCCGCCGAGACCTTTGAGCAGAAGATCAAGATCGAGCAGGGCCAGGAGGACGCCGAGAAGGAGCAGGCTGCCAAGGCGGCCGATGTTGCCGAGGGCGCCGGCTTTGTCGACCAGGTGCGCTCGCACGTCAACACCTTCATCGGCGTCGCACGCCAGGACCCCATCGCGGCGATCAAGCAGATGCCCCAGGTCGCCGGCGGCCTCGGCGCCGCCTTTGCTGGTCTGCTCGGTCTCGTCGGTCTTGTCGGTGGCGTGCTCGGTGGCAGCAGCGCCAAGGTGCCCAAGGACGCCAAGAAGGTCGATGCACCTTCCGCCAAGGGCAAGGCCAAGGAGGTCGCTGCGTCCGCCAAGGCGTCAGCTGTCCAGGCCAAGGACGGCGTCAAGAAGCGCGCCAACGCCGTGGCTGCCAAGGTCGACGACGCTGCCGACGACGAGTAGGCCGATTTCAAAATAACGTCCATCACGACTAGTTTTCGTATCGTCATGTCTGCTCGTAGTAAATGCATTGTTCATCCAGCTCATCCCAGTACAGCCTCCTTAGCATGAGGAACAGGTGACTTCGGGAGTGAGTAGCCATTTGAGGAGCCATTTGGAGAAAGTATGGAAAAAGGGGGCGTCGAAATTGGGCCCAAGAAGATTGCGGGCGCTGAGTTGGGTCCGTGCGTGATCGCCTTGCTACTAGGACCTAACATTCACAATTTTGCGCGGTGTTAGCTTTTTTGTGAGCTTTAGCGTGTGTTGGAGCGGGATTTTGGGGGGAGGGGGGGTAAAGATCAAAATGCGCAACACCAGCTGCAGGTGATCTTTCGAACAATCGACCATCATCCACCCCCCGTCTTTGTCGTCAAAATGGAGCAGATCGCACAGCAGTTCACCGATTTCTACTACTCGACTTTCGATGCTGATCGAAACCAGCTCGTCAACCTCTACGTACGTCCCTCCGCCACGCCACTATCTTCTTCTACCGTTGATCATGAAGCTGACGTTCTTGTTTGGGGATAATAGAGGGCTAACTCGATGCTGACTTTCGAGGGCTCGCAAGTTCAGGGTGCCCAAGCTATCGTCGAAAAACTCACCGTAAGTTTGCTAAACATCCTTCCAGACCAAAACAACGAAAGAGAAAGCTGATTGGGTTGTTTGTGGGTGGTTGAATAGGGCTTGCCATTCGAGAAGGTTCAGCACAAGGTCGAGACCCGCGATGCCCAACCCACCGGCGACGGTAACTCCCTCGTCGTTCTTGTCACCGGTATGCTCGTCGTAGACGACGGCGCAAACCCCCTCAAGTTCTCCCAGACCTTCACGCTCAACCCCGAAAACGGCTCGTTCTACGTCTTCAACGATATCTTCCGGTAAGCACATTCATCCCCATGAACACCAACGCATCCCCCCCCCCCCCCCCCCCCCCCCC